GTACTTGAATGTAAAAATTTAATAGAGTGGCATTCTGTGAATGTATAAAACATTTTCATTCTCAATTTACCAATAACGCCAAAAGCATTCATATGTATATTAACCATTTGCATTTAATAATTAGAAATTTTATGATTATATAAAATGAATGCAGAAGAATAAAAAAATAAACCACCATTTTTATTCTTTTAAAAAAATCTACTCTAAAGTTAATCAAAGTAGATTAGAATATATTTGTTATTTTAATTATATGTAAGTTAAAAAGCATTTAATGTTGTTGCCCCTGTCAAAAAGATATTTCATGTAAATCATGCCAAAAGTAAAGGCTGATAAAAGTAAACTAGTATAAATTAAAGTTGTCTAAGAGAAATATTTTTTTGTTCTTGATGGAAAGAAAATATTATCTCAGAAATTCAAAATTGATTAATTATGTTCCACTATTGGAATATCAAAACAGTGTTGTTCGAAGATTTACTTTGTATAAACCATCTGTCATTCAACTATCTTAATTAGTTTGATTTTTTAACAAAGCCATAATCCATAACGACCATAATCAGGGCGATATTTTTACAGTATGCTACTAACAGTATTAATTTTTTGAGGTTTCCATTGTCCCACACCTTCACCTGAAATGTAAGTTCAGTATTAATGGTCGTTGTCGCTTATGGCTTGACCATTTAGTAATGTTAATCAGATGCTGAATATCATGTTGAAGAGATATTACGAATGTTATTAAATCCTCCAAAATGAATGCTCACTTATCGTCAACCTTCATGAAAGAGTGAGTTATAGTATGTTTTCGTCGTAATGCAAGTTTCAGCCATAGTGGTTTTCTCACGCAAAAGTGCTTAATGCTGCATTAATTCACAGCTAATTGCGTGCAATTTACTAACCTGTAATAAATGTGAATGAAAATTTCGGTAATGGTACAGTTTTCCCTATAGTCCCATGATTCAAAATTTCTAACCTGAACTGAAATATAATCAACCCTCCCTAAATCCCCTAGCTTACAACCAGCGATCCTCGATTTTGTTTCGTAATTTTAGTTCCTACAGGTGAGTGTTAACTACATGGACAAAGACAATTATATATATATGCATATGAAGTCATTAATTAAACTTTGTAATTTCTTTTAATTTATTTTGCTAATTAGCAGACCTTTTGGTATAAATTTACCTTACTAACATACAAGAAGACACACACATACACATGCATACATCTATGCATGTATATATATATATATACACACACACACACACACATATATATATATATATATGTATATATATATATATATACGTATCTAAATAAATTATTTTAAAACCTTTTGTTAGGATGTATGCATTGTTATAATATTATTGTAAATTAATGCTCTACTATAACACATTATTTATAAAATATTATGAAGCAATTTTCATACAATCAAGTAAAACCAACAGATTTAAATCTTTTGTTACATTTCTTACTAACGAATTAAATTTTTGAGATGATTCAATTATACATTCACCTCTTTAAGATAGTAAAATGTTTTTTTTTATTATAAGGTTCACTAGGCAATATCTGTAATTTGTTTTGCAATTAATGAAAAACGGCAATATTTATTAAGAATTAAATATGTTAGGCTTTATGAATTAATTGTAGCACATAAAAAAGAATTACGTTGAGGCGACATTGAAAACATCGTTTCAACATTAAACGTTGAAGTGTTGAAAGTTGAAATGTTACGTTAAATATTGACTTTATTTATATTAATAAATTTAACTTTAAGTTGAAAATTGTTAATGTATTCTGGATACATGTACTGATAAAATAATACAGGAGTATTGATAAAATAACATTAGAAGTATATAAAGGATAAATGCAATTAAAACATAGGAATATTATATTTAGTATCTATTTTGTTTTGTTTATATCAACAAAAACTGATTTAAAATAGTTAAACTTGAATATATTTCCTCTTTTTAATGCATACAACATAAGTTAATTAAGAATTAAAAATAGACAAATTAGTAAATATACTAATGCAATTTTCTGTGATACAAACACCCGTAATAAAATTCAAATCCATCATTTACTATATCATTAAACGTATAACAAAAGTACTACGATAAGTTATTTATTATAAATAAATTATTAACAAATCTTTAGAGAAAGTCTGCGCTACTTCATCATTAAACTAAGCTGACTACTTTAATAGTAGTTTAATTAAATTTTGATTTAGATAACACGAGTGAAATTTGATATGATACTTTTAATTTTGCCTTGTAAATTTAAGCCTTCATATAAGCCTTTTGATTCATACATTGGCCTAACAACGTTATGATGAAATAACATAAATGTTATACGAAGGTATTGCATTTCATAAAGGCTGCGAAAGTGTTATTTGTTTTGAAATAATTATATTCAGACGCTGGTTTATTAAATATCGAAAGGGATTAAATCTCAAGTGTGCATTCATAATATCAGATAAAATAAGAAGCTTTGTAAGGCTTCATGATAAATATTTACATATTGAGAATTTAGTATGTAATTTAATGTTTCACAGCGTTCATTACTTTTGTATATAGCACATATAACACGGCCTTAGAATCTAAAGCTGATTAACACTTTTATTTACATTCACGTTTGTTCAATATAGCATCTTTGATTTCTTCAGCTCTAGCATTGGCTATTCGCAACATTTTAGTTCCATACATATTCTTTTTCTACAGATCTAAGTGACACTTTACGTTTAGAGTCAATTCTGGTTTGATGGAATAGTTTTCTTTTCTTAGGAGGCATTGCAAATTTAACGATAAATATCAGCGTAAAGGTACAACAATAAAAATACTTTCTACAATTAACGTTTCTACAATTTCCCTGTTTCTACCACCCATCCCTCTCTTAAACTCATTCCTATGGCTATTAAATTTTGAACATCTGTAGACGGGAGAGAGGTAATTCCTTGAATTGAACTATGGTAACCTAAAGGAATCGACAATATACTTAGAGTTGCGGTATTGGCAAAGTTATCTGGAGTGCAGGAGTCTAGATTAAACCGGTACTGGTTTAATTTAGTTTTTTATTTGTAAAATGGCAATCCAAATTTTTTCTTATTTATTAAACGAAATTTTACGTATTTGCAATTCAGGGGTTATTATGCTTTATTTACTAATTTATTTTACTTCAGCCTATGCCGGTACATCAACTTAAAAATGACATCAACCGGGCAAAAATCGCCAAATTGGTGTAATGCTCAATTGAGTAAATTTTTAATAAATATTGATATAATTTCGAAATTTCTTTTCTGTATATATATTATATGCACCCCTGTCAATTTTATGAAATTTGAAAATAAATTAGGGGCCATGCATAAGTGGACACACACACACAAACTTTGCGAAATGTATACAAAGATATTGTATGAGGCATAACAAATATGTATTATAACAATTGTTTTGAAAACATATTGATTTAATACACTAATGTTGAAAATCTTATCTTTATTAAGTCTTTATATTAATTTATTGATTAAATTTTATTCTTCATGTAAATTAAATGCATTGAATGTATTCACGAAAGTGATATGAATGAGCATCTTTCGAAAAAATAGAGGGCATTTAATTTTTGAATTATTAATTTTTTATTATGTGTTGATTAATATTATGATATATTGTAAAATGTTAAATGTTGTATAGATGCTTAAAAACTGTATTACTGAAATCATTGTTTTGTTTTTAATATAACCATAATTGAAGTTTAAAATATTTATCATCAACAGCAATTATTTTTTCTAGATGAACTAAATATCAGTTATGATTTAATATAATGATTTAATATGACGATTCAAGAACATAGCGAATCAACTAAAAAATTTTAAATTAATTTATGCTAACAACATTTATTCTGAATTCCTATAGAAATAAAAAACAAGATTATTAGGAACTATTGTCTAGATCTGATTCCTTACTCCCTCTAGCAACGCTATCTTAAGACCTGGTGTTTCTGGTGTGGGGAAATTAAGTTGCAGTTGCCCTTTCTAGAGTATTCTAAGCATGATATATAGTATTTAGTTCTGGAGATCTAAACTCATTTTCTGGAAATTCATGTCCCAGCTTAGCTTGTTGTCGGCTATTAAAAAAATTAAGACCTAGTACAACCCTTAAAAGAATCTTCTCCACGTTAAACTGTAGATCCCTGTCTGTTTAGCCTAAAGTGTGCACAAGATGACCGTAGAGCGACAAACCAAACCAAACGAAACCTCCCCCTACTTCACAGTGGTCACAGAACTTATGACATAGATATAGAAATATTTCTGTGGCTTCTTGCCTGTCAACATGATACTTGTCCAGACCATCAAATATTCACTATCATAGTGATCTTTTTCTGGGTTATTAATGAACAGACAATGGGGTTTCTGAAGAGATTTACCTCCAGAGCATACTTAAAACATAAGTGGTAATGCTGAATGAAGTCATACTTTATCTAGATCAAAGACGATGCAAGAGAGGTATAAATGGCTGCAATTTTGCAAACATATGTGTCTCAAATGGACTTTTGGAAGCATGTAAATCTTGAAAAAAAGGTTGCCATGACTGTATGAAATTTACAAGAGAATTAAGGAGATGTTATGTCTCGTTGCATTTGACAAGTACTGTCCTTCATTGGACAATGTGGCTCTTAAACGATCTTGATCCGGATTAATTAGCGGATTCAATATTCTTAAACTTTTTCAATGACTTGGCCACGATACTGGGAATTACATTTAAATATCTATATGAGACTGAATTATTTCAAGTCTCACAATGATTTCGCACTAAATTCAACAATACAAATTTCTTGGTTGCACTTATTAGTTTGCTTTTGAGTAATACCGCATTTTTAAAACATCACGAAATTTGTGGAATTGGAGTGAACAAAGTGCAGAAATCGCCAAGTGTACTTATAATTCTTTCCTTTGTATTTATTTCCCATTTGACACATACACACGATTATGTATTCAAGAACTATTCATAAGTGCCAACGGCCGTACCATGCTGAATATACCGGTTCTCGTTAGATCACCGAAGTTAAGCATCATTGGGTGCGTCAGTAACCACCTGGGAACACTGCGTGCCGTTGGCAAATTTGGGACCTGAATGGCCGAGTGTCTAGCGCTTATGCCAAGGTTTCGGGTTCGAATATGGATGTTTGTAGTGGTTCGGAATTTTTAAGCCGTAGGACCCGGTCTTCTATGACTGTAAGAGTGTCATCAGGCTTCTACCTACGGGTGCTCCTTCACAACAGAAGAATCATGAGTCCATATGGGCTATGGGATAAGAAACAACAACAACAGAACTATTCATAAAAATTTACAAATGCAAATTGAAATAATTTTGAATAAAGGTGTACATATTTTTAAAAATGTTACGGTTCTGAATATATGGTCTCAAAAACGGCTTTTATTTTCAAATCGATAAAAAATAATATTACTTAAAATATTTTAGGAAGGCTAAATTAAACTTTGGATTTCCAACGCATCGGGTAAAAGCAGAATATCGAAAGGATTTCTGAAAATATTTTCCTCTGTATAAAATATTGTATTTTAAAAGTAACAACCTTTGGGAAAATGATTCAGCACATATCCTATATCTAAAAAAATAAGCAAGAAATGGAATAGAGGTCATATTTCATATTCAGTTTTGAACAAATCTTTTCTCTCTCTCCCACTCCAGATATTTTATGTCATGCATTTCATCACGTTTTAAGGCTTTGAGCTGGATCCCATTTATGCAGAAAGGCTGCTACACATACGGAAGACTGCTGGGTGTTTATTGAGCTTGATAGATAGATTTTGAAGTTTTGCCATAGAGAGTGTAAGCCTTGAAATAAATTCTTTGTTCAATTTCTTGCAGATGTGAAGATAATAAGAAAATAATTTATTGAATATTTAACGCATGATTATTTATAGTGACGATATTTTATGCAGATATTTATATGCACGCACATTAATAACTTATTTCAAAATTGTTATCAAAATAAACTGCATCATTTTATAAATGTCACTGTGTAAATCAGTCCGTAAATCAATCGTTATTAAGACTTTAACTTGCTACTTTTGCTAACATAAATCAAAATGATCTTTTCAGAAAACAGCCTTGCATATATATATTTTGATTTTAAACTAAAATTGAATATATACTGTGTTGATATTTACATAAGTATCGAAATAATACCATTTATCTAAATTTTAAAGGACAAGTAGAAATCCCTGAAATAAATTTCCCCCATAAATTTCATTATTTGTTAAATTTACAATGTTGAAAATATTATTAATAATTAAAGTTGGTGTAGTACTTTTAATGATTTAAATGAGTTTCAATTATACAGATGTCACAACATGAAAAATTTTTAATAGAAATTTAGCATGTTGCAAATGCTAATAATGTGTATTTTTGCAAATTTCACACATCTGCTGTTAATCAGTTTTTAGGACAGCATAGAATGAAAGAAAAAATTAGATAATTTGTATAGTTTTATAGATTAGGTTATATATATATAATTAGATACGTTTTACCAAACTAATTTCAAATTACATTAGTTTGGAATCAGTTGCAATGCTAACAATATAATGTCCATTCTTCGGCTAATCATCGGCTTTAACCAATAGTATGAGGGCTTTCTAACTTTTTTTAAATATTTTTGTACTTCAAGTAATTATTAATTTTTTTAAATATATTTTATTAATGGGTTTTTTTAATGCTAATACCGTTGAATTGATTAGGCATACATAAATGATCAGTGGATTCAGTGGATCTTTTATAATATTTAGTGATAATTTAATAAAACACTTAAAGTTTACTAACAGCAGACATCGAAACATAGCAGATATATTTTTCACACAGAACATTTCGTAATTTTTTTTCGAAAATATCTACTAGTAATGATTGACATTAAATCCTATTATTTTTTTAAAATATTTACTTCACAATTCTTTGATATCAATTTTATTGAAATATCTTTACTTGTTTATGTATTTCGGACTGATGGCCAATTGGCTACAGCTGTAGCCTTTGCTTTCAGGTTCGAATCCTGGCTTGGTTTGATTTGTCGCTCTACTCTCACTTTTTGCTCACTTCAGGCTAATTAGACCGGGACCTACAGTTTAACGTGAATTCCAAACCAATCCCAAACATCCATGCCACTGCCAGGATTCAAAACTGATGCCTATGTGGTACACAAGGCCAAAGCGCCCGTCAATCGGCCATCAGGCCGTACGCATCTTGAGATGGCATGGATGTTTTTAGTGGTTCGGAATTCATGTTAAACTGTAAGTCCCGGGTCTAACTAGCCCAGAGTGTGCTGAAAATGACTGTAGAGCGACAAACCAAATTACCAGTTTATAACTTATAGCCGTTTCGAATTTATCAATTTTTGCTTTATCATTGAGTTCAATAATCGAACATCTACTGTAACGAGAAGTGAACCTATAAAAACCCATGAGAATGTAATAATTAAGTGATTTATCTATAACGTTACAAATCATTAGCCATTTCAATCACTTCTAATTAATACTATTTTTTTGTAAATACTATTATGCTGATTTGTAAAATTCAAATTCACTATACCTGAAACTAAAAGACTATTGTAACGAGAAGTGAACCTGTGAAAACCCATGAAAATGTAATAACTAATTGATTCATCAATAAAAGTTACAGATGATTAGCTATTTCGATTATTTCTAACTACTTTATACTATTTTTGTTTTTGTAAATACTACCATGCTGATTTGTAAAATTCAAATTCACTATACCTGAAACTAAAAGACTATTGCAACGAGAAGTGAACCTATGAAAACCCATGACAATGTAATAACTAATTGATTCATCAATAAAAGTTACAGATGATTAGCTATTTCGATTATTTCTAACTACTTTATACTATTTTTGTTTTTGTAAATACTACCATGCTGATTTGTAAAATTCAAATTCACTATACCTGAAACTAAAAGACTATTGTAACGAGAAGTGAACCTATGAAAACCCATGACAATGTAATAACTAATTGATTCATCAATAAAAGTTACAGATGATTAGCTATTTCGATTATTTCTAACTACTTTATACTATTTTTGTTTTTGGAAATAGTATCATGCTGATTTGTAATATTCAAATTCACTATACCTGAAACTAAAAGACTATTGCAACGAGAAGTGAACCTATGAAAACCCACGAAAATGTAATAACTAATTGATTCATCAATAAAAGTTACAGATGATTAGCTATTTCGATTATTTCTAACTACTTTATACTATTTTTGTTTTTGTAAATACTACCATGCTGATTTGTAAAATTCAAATTCACTATACCTGAAACTAAAAGCTCTATTGTAACGAGAAGTGAACCTATGAAAACCCATCTTTGATTCATCAATAAAAGTTACAGATGATTTTTTCTATTACTATTTTACTATTTTTGTTTTTGGAAATAGTATCATGCTGATTTGTTATATTCAAATTCACCATACCTGAAACTAAAAGCTCTGTGTCCACTCTTTCATCTGCCACGCTGTTGTTAACGTAGCAGATATATTTGCCACTGTCTTCCGGCTCTGCCCTCCTGATGATAAGGGTACCGCCGAGTTCCACGAAGCGTTGGTTTTTGGTGAGTCTCACTGCTTGGCTCTTTTCCAGCTTTAACCAATGGATTTGGGGTATTGGATAACCTTCAGCTGCACAAGGTAGCTTCACCGTGCTGCCTTCTTTCACAATGAGGTTGGTTCTGCGATCAATTATCCGGGGAGGGAATGTGCTGTGAGGTTCTGCAAAAGAATGCTTCAGGTTAATTATTATGGTTTGAAAACTTTTTTCCATGCTTCTGTTAATTGATAGGGTTTAATGTGGAAAATTTCATTCTATCATTGCTGAATTTCGATGGAATAGTTTTTGTTCTCTTATAAAACAAAACAAAATTTAAAAAATATGGAGTTACTAAAAGGATAGATTTTGAAAAAGTTGTGACATAAAACACATTTAAATTTGTTTATTATTTATTAAGGATTTTTGCAAATTTAATTCATATTACTAAAAAAACCTGACTAACCCTTCTACGAATCGAAACCATTGTTTATGAGTTGGTTGTAAATTAATATAGAATTTTATTTGTTGTGTATTAAATATAAGCAGTTTGATTGAGTCAAAATAAGTTGAGGTTTTTAAAGAGTTTGATATAAACCATTGATTATGATTTGGTTATAAAGTAAAATAGAATTTTTATTACACATATATTAAATGCACACAGTTTGAATTAGTCAAAATAAGTTGAAGTTTTTAAAGAGTTTCATATAAAACATAGATCTGATAAAAATTGTAAAATAAAATACATTTAAATATTTTTATCAAATATAAATGACTTTTACAAATTAAACTAAGATTACTAAAATGCCTGACTTATATAACCTACTACGTACAGAACCATTGATTCTGAATTCATGGTAAAGTAACATAGAATTTTTATTAGATATATATTAAATATAAGCAGTTTGATTTAGTCTAATTAGGTTGAAGGTTTTAAAGAATTTCCTACAAACCATTGATTATGAATTGGTTGTAAAGTAGCATATAATTTATATATATATATATATATATATATATAATTATGTCTGCGTAATAAGTATTATGTAATAAAAGTATTATGCAATAAATGTATTATTATGTAATGCAAGTATTATTAATAGGATTTTCATTTATTTAAATTTTTTTGCTTCATATATTTAGATAAGATTTTAAAACAAGATGCATAACGGAAGGTATTAAGACAATTTTTGGTTCTTTCGACGATCAATGAGGGTTTATTTAGATTTTATAGCATAAAATTTAATTTTTCGATAAATTCTTTAAATTCATGAATAGAAATGTCTTTCACATAACAAATTAATCGAACTATTCATTTATATTCACACACATATGAAAAAAAAATCGCAATTTATTTATCGCAACAAATATTTGCTTTAATTTCTTCCCATTACAAATATATATACATTGAGTTTTCGTTACAAAAAATAACTAAAAAATAAAACTCTCATTTTTTTTCAGTTTCGTATCAATGTTTGAAAACTCTTTTCTTAAATGAACGCGTTTCAA